ATTGACAATTCTTTTGTTAAGTTCCTCCAACATGGCCGCCGTGAAAACCATCAATATCACGTTATGTACATATCCACTTTTAAACTGGGAAAGATATAATGTATTCGAGCCGTACGCCGTATACGGTTAATTAGCACTACAAATTGGCTTAGTTCTCAAATATAGTGAATGACTTCTGGCTAAAGTTGTACATTTGTACCCTTTTTGAAATGCTTTTTTCGACTTATTGCAATTTAAGAAAATCGAAACTTTTTTGATTTGAGAAACCTTCAAAAGTTTGAATAAAAGTTTATAGGTTTGTAATGTTTGTAAAAATAAAAAATAATTAGAGTTTCATTAATGTTAGCTAAGAAATGACTTTGATAACTCTTTTGGCAAAGGTTCAGTTTGGTGAATATCAGATACTGATGTAAAAAAAAACACCCATTGATTATGACTAACAAGTGTTTAATCAACCTTGGACAAACAGGAGGTTTCCCGTAGGCCTTAACAAGCTTAAAAAAAAAAACAACTCTCCTTTCTTTGCGCACTTAATTGGTCTTTTACTGTGAACAAAAGCCGTGAAATCAGCCACACGTGTTTCTTTGGAAAGGCAGTAACTGAAACGTCACGTGATGGCTTTTGGCGCGATGTTTGAATTTTGTTTCCGGTGGCGTTGCGCCATACATATACACAAACACCAACACAAGCACATAACAAACTTTTCATGGCCTCTCTTACGAATAAACTCGTGTGGTCGAACAGAACTGTTTCAGACAAGCGCATACTCCGTTGCAAAGTTGCCAGTTCTCGTACCAAATTTGGCGCGAAATTTGATATTCCTTGTGGTGTTTCCCATTTCAAAAATTAATTAATTCAAAACTTGGGAGTTAAAATGTTGACACTCAGAACATAATTCATTAAATAAATCCTCTGTCGACCAAATGTGCTTGATTTATGTGACTATCTTTTTCCTACAAAGTTTCCCAATGCGCAACTCCTTCTTGTCGAAGTACCAAAAACCGTCAAGTTTCAACCTTTCTGTTAGCCTTTGTGTGATTACAGGTGTCTCATTGAGAAAAGGTGTCGAACTCCGGAGTTAGCTATTTCGTAATTGCAGCTGCGAAAACTGATTTAAATACTGCAACATTTCAATACCACATGTAATAGATATCATAAGCCGTTTCAAGGCCCATTTCGCAAGTTATAAGTCCAAAGCTGGCGCACTTGACGAACACAAGGAGACTATTGATGGACATTCTCTACGAAAGGATATGCAAAAGGTATGTAAATTCAATCATTTATAAGTCTTTAATATCATTCAATATTATCTAAAGCATCAGTCTTTTTCTCCAAATGACAAGGCATAAACCTTTTTGACTATGTCGAGATTACGAAAGAAAACAACCTAGAATTACAGAAATTCCGGTGAGCTTAGAGCGATAGTATACAATTATAGAAAGGTTAAAGGTCAAATGCATGGAGCGAAACTGACAGCACTGTGGGGGTAACTAAGACATAGCAGGGCCGGCTGAACGACCATCCTTCACTAGTAAACCAAACCCTATTTATAAACCAACGCCTATTTATCGACCAACCCCTAATTATCGACCATCCTCCACTAATTGACCAACCCCTATCTATCAACCAACCCCTATTTATCGACCAACCCCTATTTATCGACCAACCCTTATTTATGGATATAAAAAATGCATGATCAGACTACGTCACCAGTTTACTCAATCGTCATTTAGTTTTTTCTTTTGTTTTTGTTTTCTTAATAATCAACAAGACGTTAGGAAAATTGCATAAACTTTGAATCAGTTTCTGGGCCAAGAAAAAGGTGGGGTGGGGTGGGGTTCAATTCAGTCATTGACAAATTTAAGTATCCGACAACATTTAAATTCTCAGGCCCGTAGCTAGGATTTTTGTTGGG